GTGAAATGCTTTTTAGTTATGCACAGTGTGTATACATAATAACTTAAAAAACTGATAAAATACATTTTCACTGTGTTGTTAAGTATTACATACTCGCTGTTGCTGTAGAAATGTAGCTCTTACAATATGTTTAAATAAGTTATGCAAAACCAAATGAAGTGAAACTACTTTAATAATGGTATGGGGGTTAGGTGGAGTGTTGAGTTACAGGACATTCGGTCAGCATAATGGCATCAGAAAAACAATGTGTCGGGAAGCCATCACGCCCAAACATTCATCATCATTAGCAGCGTGAGCAGCAAACACCAGATGCCCGGGTATAGTGCTACATCAAATGTGTCTGGGCAGCTACCATCAGCACCGTGGGACATATGCATCTATTCTCTCACCTGATCACGCTCTTTTCTCCATCTGTCAGAGATGACTCGGCAGCTGCCTTCGCTCATGTGCCTGTGTGGGCTCTCACAAGGAAAACGATTAGTTTCTGACTTCAGCTCGTAACTCTGTTATTTACCTCTTTCCTGTGTTCTGGTCTTTAGTTGAAACAGTGTGAATATCTTTGATTTATCTTCCCTTTTAGTAGTAGAATACATTTTCTGTGTAACGTGGTTTAGTTGAATTTATATGTAGATCTGAGTACATTAGGACCAGTGGCGGATTTAGGATTGTAGGAGATCTGGTGCTTAGCCCAGGAGTTGTTGGGGGGAGGGAAGATATTTTTTTTTATATTGAAGTTAAAAGCATCAATCTGGTGCACTTTGAGAGCAACATTAACCCTACCTTAATAATACCTTAAAGCGGACAAAAGGCACTGGAGAACACTTATTCATTAACACCCTTTAATGAAGCAAACTAATGCCTTAACTCACTCAAGTCGTTTACTTATTTCGGTGAAACGAATGTGCGTAGAGTTTTAAAGGATGCGGATAGTCTCATCTTGATTCTGGCGCATTGCTTATCGTTGTATAGATCTATTCTCATCCACCATCTTTGTTTGTGACGTAAAGAGTGTAAGAGTCACGTTTCTGAATCGGACACTCTGAGTGGATGCAGTCACAGCCAACCGGAGTCTGATTCAGAGGGTTGCCTGTCAGTTCCGTTGCTATGGTTCCGCTCTTATGTGTACTGAAACGAGAGCCGGTATAATTCCACGTGCGAAAACAAAATAAAAATTGGAATACGTTATTTTAGTGTTTTAAAAGTAGACTGAGGTATGAAGGGTTAAAGTTACATCTTAGAATAATTTGTAGTCATGTTCTGTATACATACTAACATATAAGGGTATACTTAGTGTGGTTACTCCATGTTTACTAGCTATAACATTAACGTTACATCACTCTTTTAAACTTCTTACTCAGTCAGCCAGAGTGCAGATATCACCATTAGATTAACAAACCTGAAACATCATCCATTTCTTCACTGCTGGTGATGACATTGTTGTCAGCTGCTGATACTGCTGCTGCTGTAGCTTGTGGCGCCTGCTTCGATGAAAATAACTTTCTAATACTCCTAACTTTATAGGCTATTAGCTTAAATCTCGTCAGGCACTAGGAAGGATCACTTCTTCTTCGGGGCAGGGAAGGCTACGCAGTACGCAGGCTAATGTCCTGCAGCGGCTGCCTCTCTGGTGGACTCCGGTACTGCACATTACTCAAGAGATTTATTTGTAATTTTTTTAAGTGAAACATCTGGGGCTTTTCAGAAAACATCCGGGGCTTGAGCCCAAGTAGCCACCCCCTAGTGCCGCCACTGATTAGGACACGTGTTTTTAGTATTAGTAGAGTAGTTTGACCCAGTAGGAATGTACCCATATCCCAAAATGTTTTTTGTAAACACCAAAATTGACATATCTAAGTGTCCGTTATATTCAAATATTTGTATATCAGTGTTTATGACCACAAGATAAATAAATTGTAAACAAATTGTTCACAACATAGTTTTTTCATTTGAAAAGATACATTTTAGATAACTACTTGTCTTTTACACCTCTAGTAGACAGCAATGGTACACAGCAGGGTTTAAAGTTGTAGTTATTGCAGTAGTCATAGTGCTAACATTATCACCAGGTTTCATTTCCATTTCACATGTTTCGTTAAATTAGCTTTTCCTACACGATTAATGATCAAAAAACACATCCTCCATCTCATTAGCTGCATTTACGAAACATTGCCTTTGACGGCCTATAGGTTACGTGATGTGACCCGTGTTTTTGATTAAAAAAAGCAAGTGGATTTGAGCATGGCCTCTCATATGTGGAGCCTAATGAGGGTAGTGAGAGTAACAACAAGCTGTTGTGTTGCGTCTCCATACCCTCATCAATCAAAGCTCTCCTGTTTATGCTGATGCTGATACTGCCAGGCTCACTTTGAGTCCCTATCAATTAAAAGAAAGTGGTTAGCAATCCATCATCCTCCATATAACACGCCATGTTATGGAATGCAAACAGTGCATGCATTTGTGTGTTGCTGTTACATGTTCTGCACGTGTACATTTTTTACAGAACAGTGCATGTTAAATTCGCTGAGCACTTTCGTCCTGATGTCTGTAGCTGTTTTTTTAATTCACAAGAGGCGACGGAAATAAAAGGAGAGGGGGAGATATACCGACACCTCATTTCCCTGCCTCAGCGTAATGATCCTTTAACAACCTTCTAACAGAGCCAATCTCGGGAACAATTTTTCGTAAACTGCAAAGTCTGTTCCTGCTTGGCCGGGGTGTATTTGAATTGATTACAGCTGTGGAGAGAGATAGGGGAATCACCTTCCTCTGGTGACAGCACACTTTGGGTTACAAACTGGAGATTTGCATGGCATTACCCGTGACAGTTCTCATAGGCTTTACCCTCCACACAGTGGTGAAGTGCCAGAGGCCTTTCGAGGGCAAATCTACAGACGAAATGCTACTGTTGGACAGTAGTAACCCCCACCAGATATTGTAAGGAATTGAACCTGCTTCAGAAATATCCTGACTCTGTATTGAGTCCAGTAGTATTCCGTTTATTGACAGATTCAGGGACACAAAGCAATGGGACGGACACACTGAAAACAGTCATCCCATGCTCCTAAGCAGTGTTGGGAGGGTTATTTTAAACACATTTGAATACAATTAATTATAATCTGTTAAGAAATGGTATTCAGAAACCTAATCCAAGAATCACAATAATAAAAAAATACAGTAAGTCTCCATTTTGTTCCTGTTACTTTCACATTACCACAATAAAAAGTATGCAACATAGAATGAGATTAAAATAATATTAACTTTTTTTAAACCTTTTTATTTCTTTTTTTAAAGCTGCAGTGTCTATCAGACTCAGTTCATGTTCATTCTCGGTCAAAGCAAGCGGGAAATTCAACAGAAATCTAATCCACTAAAACGTGAGAATGTGATATGTTGTATCTCCCCCTTACATCTAAATATCCCCATCTACAAAGCACCAATCATAAAGAGATCAAATGTGCAAACAGCCTGAGGATAAATGTAAAACGTCTATGCTAATTACGTCAGAATCTCACAACATATGCTTACTATCTTTGTCAGCCCTTAATGTCCCAGTAATTGCTCTATTTAAATTCACGTCTGGCTTAAGTCGTTTTTAAAGATTTAAAATCAATGTTTTTTTATAGCTTCCTTTTCCTGTCTGGAAATACGATTTCACAAAGGAAAAATATGTCAAGCTCAAAGTAGGAAGTGGAGAGGGGCGCCTCGTGATTTATTCATCAGCCACAGAGTGAATTTAACACTTTAATGTTATGGAATGCCATTAGGACTCTGGCAGGAAATTTGACGTTATAACATAAAGTATTTACCACAGTTTAAGGAAAATACACAAACATTAGCTCAGAATTGCGGTGAACAGAAATGTAGAAAATTAAGGGATTTGGTGGGTTGAGAGAGAAAAGGTGCAGCTGAGCGAATGATTCAGCTTAGGTGATGTAAAACGCCTCAGGCTAAACATTTTGAACAAAAGCCCAAAGAAGGAAGGAAAGGGACAGTGTGTTGAGTTTCAGTGTGTGTTTGTGAGGACGTTCAAAGAGTGTGTAAGGGGGGGGGTGATGTCTCCGTCCACTCCAACAGATCCCGGTTTCCCATCCCTGCACAGACACATGTTCCCGGGCATACCTCTGGTTTCATGCTGGCCTGTTGACGGAGCTAAACTGATGTGATTTGATCATGCAGCCGTACTCGCACTGTCCTGAAAAAACACCATCCTGATCCCTGCCTCCTTCTTGACACGCACAGAGAAAACACACACAGATGCATTCATGCTCACATTTGTATGCTTTCGGATAGAAACCGAACAAAATAAAACCTTTAGGAAGATTTAACTTTGGGTGAGAAATATGTAGATGTTTGTGTTCTGCATTACATCTCGCCAAACAACAAAGCAAGATTTGAAATATCGCCTCTCAGTCACAAGCGCTTAAAAGGCGCTGAGTGGATTTTAATAAGGAGCGGTTAGCAGTGCACACCGTGGTCTTCAATGGGATTAAGAGGCTTTGAATGGTTGAGGCCATTAAAAATCTACACAGGCCCACAAGTCCTGGAGCGCCTTATGAGTATATTTATCATTAGGATTAACAAACTCAGCCTGTGAACGCTTTCACCCCAGGAGCACAGCAACCTCTACCCTTGTAGCATTATTGTGTTTGTCTGAGTGGCTGATGATAAGAGCGAGTCAGCAGCAGGGGACACAAAGCTCTGCTCCCAGCCTGCCGACCATCCCCAGTGGACCGCTCTCAAATGCAACATCTGCATCCACCAGCTCATCTGTGTGCACTGTGAGAAAGCCATGGTTTCTGCATGCTACGTACATTGTTTTTTGATTCCTGAAGCGCACACGCTAAGCATGAAGTGATGAAAGAATAAACCCAGAAATCGTGCTTGTGGAGGAGGAAAATCTCCCTTGTGTGTGCTTTGTAATCTAGCAAGATTGAGGGATGTCACTGTTGAATCATCCTATCCTAACCCGTTTCCTGGTTCCTTCCTTTCCCACCCCTCAGATCTTCCACATGACCTATGACCTCGCCAGCGCCATGGTGAGGATCGTCAACCTGATCGGCATGATGCTGCTGCTGTGTCACTGGGACGGCTGCCTGCAGTTCCTGGTGCCCATGCTGCAGGACTTCCCCGCCGACTGCTGGGTGTCCAAAAATAAGATGGTGGTAAGTGTCTCTCCTGCACAGAGTCCTCCTGCCTGTTGGAATCAGATTATGTCCTGTTTTATCTCATCTGTCAGCTTCAGTAATTACTGTACTAAAACCCTTTAGCATCCTGGGAAAGATCGCATCGCATATCTGTCATTTTAAGCCGTAAATCAAATATATTTATCTGCTGCGTTTGCCCACATTTATTCAATTTGCGGATTATTTTTTATTTATTTGGAGCTCCTGACATCTGTCCATATTGTGAGGGGAGAGACACATAGGCTGTGTGGGGCACATTGATTTTCTAAGGAGGACAAATAGCCTCATTCAATATTGGTAGAATATTGACGGTTTCCAGTGAGCGCTCATGCTGTGCTTTAATTTAGCGTTATTGTTAAAACAGCTGCTGGAGTCTCTTTTAAAGCCTGACTCATAATATAGTTCTTTTTTATTTGCTTATGGAGGCGCACTGTGTCACACCTGATGTGCGACTCTGAATAACCCGCAGCTGATGGCTCTCGTGTTAAATAAGCAAGAGTGCAGCACCAAAGGAATCTGAGTTATTGTCAGGTTTTGTGGTTGGGGCCTTATTAGCGATTGATCTGACATCAGTGACTGCTTCTCTCTTCAGTTCAACCAACCAATACATCCACAGATAGTTGACCCTTAAGCAACGCCTCCGAGAACAGTTGTTCCCTAACTGATAGCTTATCAATATACTGTACGAGTCGATGGAAGTGCCAACAGGGCAGAGTTGGGCTTCAGTGAGGTCAGCAACTCATTTTGGTAAACAATTGAAAGACATCCACACGGTTGAATTGAAGCTTCCTGGATTGTATAGTTTTATTGGTGACATTTCAAACCAAGGTTTTCCTCAATGAATTGCATTTAGAGGTTCAGTGTCCATAATGATCAGATCCTACTCTGTCACAATTCTCTTTGCAGAGAAATAAACAAATTGTTTCTACAACTTAATTTGATACAGGCTTATGACTCTTTGTTCGTGATAATTTAAATCACACACAAAATACTAAATGTTTTATAAAAAAGATGACAGATTAAGTTTAGGCAGCAAAACAACAATTCAAGGATTCTGAGTTTCACACGAAGCAGCTTCTCGTCAGCTGTATGTTCAGCTCTCCGTGCCAGAACAGATGTCACATGAGTAGTTACATCGCTCAAGGTACGATGCATTTGGTTCATCATGCCTCGCTGGCTCCCTGACATGCTCACTTGTTATATTTAATCATAGGAAATGACAGATGTTGCAAACCACTGTCCCTTGAGATGTTACACCCATTAGCAACTTTTAGCTTGTTTTCCATACTTGACTTTGCAGAGAAACACAGTCAGGTGAGGTGGTCCTGCTCAGGGACAGCGTCAGGACCGGGGATAAAACCACCAGCTATCTGGATTAATATGATTACAGCTAAATGTTTACATTCAGACTTTTTAATAGCATACAATTTCCCCTTCCACTTGTTTCAACTTCACCGCTATGACAGATGCATTTTATTATTAGTTCAATATGCATAAAGCCAAGTTGCAATGGGATCATTTTAAGTATCATAAGGCTGAGTCAACATAATGTCAAATGTGACTCATCATGAAGGTATAGTACATTATGCATGGGTAAAGATAACATTTTCTATATTTGTCTGCAGCTTTGAAAACAAGGATATGATTGTGCAATGCAGGTCCCGAAAAAAACCGGAATAAAACACAAATCCACAACAAAGAAAGGAAACATATATTTATGTTTTAAACGTTTACATTTTCAGAAATGTTGCCTTTACTAGGTTTTTTAATAGCAGCTCTACTTTAAACTCTTACTGCTATTAAAACTTTAAAATTGAGTCTTCCATTACTTAAATCTTTTAATACGTACATCCACTCAGCAACTCTGGGATATGGACATGTTAATTGTCACAAGAGGATTTCATGCAGTTCTGGCCAAATTATATGGAGATTATATTAAAGGTCCCATGCCATGGCCATTTCTACTTTCTATTGTTGAGGTCTACTCAAATAAATGTATATTGTGCAATTTTCCAAACTCATATTGGTTTCTCATACAGCATCTCTGTATAGTATGTGTATTCACTCTGTCCTAAACGGCTTGTTGGAGCTCCTCCCCCCCCCCCTCCCTGTGAGCCCAGTGGCCGTCTGCGAGACACAGCCCGAACACACACACACACCCGCAGCCTGGCTGGGAGTTTGTGTGTTAGCGCCCAGGCTGAGTTCCGCGGTGTCTCGCCAACCCCACACCAGTGAGCCAGCTCACAGTGTCCCGCTCCTCGCAGCATCCCTCCGTGTGTGTGTGTGTGTGTGTGTGTGTGTGTGTGTGTGTGTGTGTGTGTGTGTGTGTGTGTGTGTGTGTGTGTGTGTGGAAGTCCGCAGATTGGTTCAAACGTAATGGCTTGACGGACGTAATGTTACGTCACTATACCCAAGAAGAAAACAATGGAAAAAGAGAAATCCCCAACGAGGCGTTCTGGGGCAGCACAGACAGGTCTTTTCTGTGTTTTACTCGCTACAGGGTGTACTTTGAGGGTTTGTGACTCTGTTTACATGTAGAAAAAGCTACATAACACACAAGGGGACGGGTAATAACCAGAAAAGCATGACATGGGACCTTTAAAGGAATGGTTTGCTCATGACACTCATTTTTAAATAATTATCATCCGATAAAACAGACCAGTCTCTGCCAGTCTTTTTTTTATTTTTTTAATCCGATGACGTTATCAGTGATTTTAAACTGATTAATTACCGAAATAACATCAACACTGTGGGCGGCGCCATTTTACCGGACGTGACGTAAACCATGCGTTTGGTTTCGAGGACACGTTGATGTTCATGTTATTTACTGTAGTTACTAGTGATGGCGAGATGAAGCCTTATGAAGCTTTCCAGCCAATTGGTTCGCAAAAGGGTTCATCTCATGAGGCTTCATTTGAACACAAACCCCCTGTTGGTCAAAGTGTGGAAAACAGGCAGATTGGACATCTCAACAGTGTGCTCCATCTCATACCGAGTTCCCAATGAGTAAATCATATATTCATGTTAACAATATTGTTTTTATTCCAGTTGAATGATTGTGATTGAAAAGCCTAAGGAGGCTGGTAAACATTGCAAAGAGGGATTTGTATGCCTTACTAATATTCATAAACGTAACCATGTTGTAGCCTGAGAAAGGCTAAACCATATCAAATAATACATTTATTAACTACATTATCTCATTTAGCTGTAGCTTTTATAAACAACAAAAAAGACGTATTGACGAGTCATTGAACCAGGAACCCTGCGATCGTGAGTCAACTGCTTTCCAGCTGAGCCACAGCACACACGCTGAATCTCCCTGAAAACACTGTAACATATTTATTCCTGTATTTATTCATTCATGTTTTTTTTCCTACATTTATTTATGCTTGTATCTATTTATACTTATGACATGTTCCGACCTCTATATAGGTGAGGTTTTGAGCTCTTTTAATTCCATCGTGTCACCAGCGGGCCCGGGTACAGGAGGGGTAATATCGTTCTTATTATACATCCATGGGTATTATGAGCGTTGTGGTTCAACGGTTCAACCGATCTGAATCGCTTCCTGAAGCAGTCACGTGGTATCGACAGGCAGCGAGGCTTCGTTTGTCATCAATGACGTCACTGGCCCAAAACGATACAAGCCTCGATACATGCTTCACAAAAAGCTTCGGGGATTACTCGACACACGCTCCGAAGCCTCGGCGCAATACGTAACATCACTAGTAGTTACTCTCTTCAAATATGCCTCATTGTATCGCGAAACATTGCCACAATTCTGATAGGAACAATCCACGGAATGCTCGGTTCCATCTGTTGCCAAAAGGTAAGAGTAGGAAGTACGTTCGGAGGCAGTGGCTAGCGAAATGTGGCCGGCCCGAACCGAAAGATCCACAGGCGCATGTATGCAGCGAACATTTCAAGTTTCCGGACGACTACTCTGAGAGTATGATAAAACATAACATGGGATTTATTGAACAACCATTACTTAATGGAGATGCAGTACCATCGGTCTTTCTGGTGGCATCACCGACCAGGACACCAGTTCGGCCAGTTGAGAAATCGCCCTCTGCAAGTGTGAAGCGACGGAGGACCAGAAGTAGTGCTCGGAGTAAGAATAAGGTATGTTATAGCGCATTTCCATTGCAGCGGGTAGCCCCGTTTAAACGTCCTTTATCGTCCAGGCCAGGCCAGTTTTTGGTGGCCTTTCCATATAGCGTAGTACCGGCTAGCGGGTACTTTCCCCCAGTTTTTCCGGGCCCATAAAATCGTGGTTCTAGGTACACCATTCAAGTACAGGTCTTCCTACTCGCCTCCCGAAATCAATTGCACGAGTAAAGGGATCGTCTCCAGCAAGATCACCGTGCTGTTCATCCTCATCGTCACTGTCCCTGGATTCCTGACGGTTCTGACTACTTGGCTCGAACCTGTATGGCTGAATTCCCCCATCCAATCTCTTCATATTGCTCAAAACGTCTTCCTCGGCTGACGAGTCCGAACTCAAATACTCCGCCATGTTTTCGTGTGTTTACAAAGTGAACGCATGGATGACGTCACGACCATCACGTGACTACTGAAAATGGCAAAAATGGCAGCGGCCTGACAGAATATACAGGTTTTGATAAAAAAGAGCTATAAAATCATTATTTACCAGGGAATATCGCTGATTTCTTCAGGGTATGGTTTAAACATAATGTTTCACTAAATACTGAAGTTTTGATTAATTATCTAATGAGTGGAGCATTCCTTTAAGGTATTTTCTACTCTTTTGTTGTTACAGCACAGAGTTGTGTTTTCCAAAACTTCCAGCGTTATAGCAGAATTATTATTAGTCTTCGTCCTCAGGTTTCTGCACCTACAAACAGTCCTTTAGGAGAGCAGAGGCCCTGAGATGTGAGCAGGAACACTCATAATGTACTTAGTTTCAATTCCCGTGTGAGAGCTGAAGCCTCTCATTACCATCAAAATGGAGTTTGTTTTGTTTCGCACAGTAAACACTGTCTAATTAATTGCATTACTAAAAGAATGGCTCTCAATGTGACAGAATAACAAATATATCTTTGTGAATTAATTCAAGCCTCGAGGGCAGGCACCTCTCTGATGGAAAGCTCCTCGTGTTTTGCTTACATTACCTGCTAGACAAAGAGTTTGTATTGACTCAGTCATGGTTGGTTTGGCTCTGATTAGAATCATTAGAGGACACGTTTTGTCTTCTTTTACAGTAGCTGTCCTATTATCTTACTGGGTCATCGCTCCTTACCTTTTCAGGAGGTCACTAATAAAATTGCTATCTCTCCCGACTTTTTACCGCTGTGGAAATGACTTTGAAAGCAATTTGGACATGTCACCCCCAGGAGAGAGTTGATATTGATTTGCCATGAACTACCACCGGGATCTAAAGGAAAATGGGCAATTTATCTACAAATGAGAAAACTTGCGGAGAAATCACATGTTTCTAAATAGCTGACCTACTTTCCGGCACGCAAGCCTCTTGTGTCTCACGCTCCATCGGCCCATTCTCAGGGCTCTGTTTCAGGCTCTCGCCCAAATGTCTGCTCGCTTCAAATGTTTGCATATTGAAAAGTATGTTTTACCCTGCCATCTGCTCTGTATTGAACCAAGGCGGTCCGAGGTGGACGTCTGCCATTTGTTTTGTCTTAAGCAATTGGATGTGTGTCGACTGTCAGGGTGCTCATTGACCTTTAATGTGCCACCACCACCCTAATGAGAGTGAGGGAGGGAGTGGGAAGGATGGAAAGATTAACGTTGCAATGTACTCACCCTAATTTACCCTCTTCTGTTTTCATCCAGAATGACACATGGGGACAGCAGTACTCCTACGCACTTTTCAAAGCTATGAGCCACATGCTGTGTATTGGGTATGGCATGTACCCCCCGGTGGGCATGACAGACGTGTGGCTGACCATCCTCAGCATGATTGTGGGAGCTACCTGCTACGCCATGTTTGTGGGACACGCCACCGCGCTGATCCAATCCATAGACTCATCTCGACGGCAGTACCAGGAGAAGGTAAGTCAAGATGTTGTGTTTCTGACGTGTGTTGCTCTACTTTACTTTCAGAGAGGACAGTGGTGGTAAGGCAGGATGCTCGCACTAATCTTAAAGCTCTATTTTGTCAATATAGCAGTCCGACCCCAATTGAATTATCTTGATGTGTGTGCAGCCATTTAATACATTGATATCTAGGTGTTGCAGTTTCATCAAGGCTAATGAACCAAAACAAATTAAATAAATAGTAGATTAAAACAAACATTACCGGTCCAATAATGCTTTGGATGATGTTAAGAGGAAGTATAATTTTGCTATGTAGGTTCTGTTTGTTTCTGTTGTACCCATGGACCGACAGACAATGATCAAAAGATCAATCAATCAGATCAGAAAGATGACTTTGTTACTAAAGTAAATACAAAATCCTTAACATTTCCAGGCAAGGAAAAGGGAAATTAAGAAGCTGTATTGCTCAATGGTTAGAACAGGCAGCCAATATCCAGTGTTGCTGTGGGTATGAGGGTTCGAATCCCAAACATGGCAGTATATTTCACACCCCACCACCAATAAAAAATACTAATAATAAATAAATAGTAAAGGGAAATTACAAAAAAACAGATTTGAATTATAGTCTGAGAAACAAAATACATTTTGACATTTTTGCAAAAGGTTTTTCCTATCATTGCCTTTCATCTCACAAAGTACTGTGTCTTTGTTTCACTTGATGTCGCTTGAAAACACTTGGAAGAAGACAGTAAGAATCTACTTTGAGATACATTTATAGGGTTTTCTTTTGACAGCAATATGGCAAGCTAAACGGGAAAGTTGGCCACATCCTCTCAGCTTCTGCAACATACTTTTTTTGTGTCTGGATGGGCTTGTTTGCGGTTGAACCATCCATATAGAGACAGGAACCCCAGCCTCCCCAGTCGAGGGGCACGGAGCCCTGCCAGCTGGCCGAAAAGGCCCGAGAGGAGCTCCACGGTGCCTTGCCCTGTGTGGGCCCAGTGTGGGCGATAATGAGCTGAGCTGCCAAGCTGCCTCATTGCCCTTCGAATGTGGTGAGGAGATGCGACAGGATGACATTGAGGGAATCAAGACAGAGGTTCCAGTAACCCCACCCAAATTCAAGAGGTAGAGTGGGAGGAAAAGAGGGCAGAGAAAAGGAACCGGAGATGAGCAAAGGAATAGATTAGATGACGTAATGGGTGAGTGATGCTACATCTTCAAAAGGAGAAAAGGGCACTGGATAAATTAACACCTCACTAATCCTGGGGTGAGTAATATAGAAACTAGTTCTCCACCAGATTCCCACCAGCTTAAAAGGTGAAAAATACTAAAAATATACCATGTGAGTAGGTACATGACAAAAAAACGTTTTTCACCAGAGTGCTGCTGTACGTAAATATGGGAAATCTGCATTCAACTGACAACCATGCATTCTAGTTCAGGTGTGTATTGTTTAAGGGGCTTAACACAATAACTAACCTGATCCCAAGCATAGGCGGATTTTGCGTGTGGCTAGTGGCTGAAATATGTTACTGCATTACTACGTCGAAAACTGTTATACAAATATTTCGTATATCAATATTTTAATAAGGTAGGACACTCGTTAATAATATTGTAGCGTGTTCAAGTAACCAAGGGATATAGTAGTTATCAAATAAGTATAAGATTTGCACAGTTATGTAATGCACTGTTGTTGGGGTGAGAGACCGCCCCTTCCATATGAGTGTGTGTACGGCGGGCATGGAAAAGTCATACTCAGTGCGGTGAGCGCTGGCTTTATTGCTACTGTATCCGTAGCACCCCACGCAATAGTTGGGACTGTGTACTGACGTCAGTAAAAAAGGTTTGCCCCCCCCAAGCGCAAATGTCAAACTCTGCATATGATCCCAAGTGTAATGATATTGTGGAATAGACCTGTTCCTTAATATAACGCAGTCAAGTGCATACCAGCTACATCACCATCTTCATAGCATCCCAGCTGCTGGCCAGTCTCCAGCCATATGTTGTACTTTATCTGGTTGTTGAGGTAGTCGTCACAGTGTTTGTTGTACATTATTTCATGTTGATGAGGGGACTACCAACTGTTTCAAAAGGCCCATTATTCCGAAAGTACGTGCTTGGTTTGAAATGGCTTTAATGCTGCCGATCTGTTTAATGAAAGGGAAGCAAACCCTCTCCCAACTCAGCACTCTCCACTCGTCTGCTGCTCCGCTTTTAGAGATGTTTCGTTGTCAAGTACCCTGAACAGCTGTCCTGTCTGAGCACCAGTCAGCATGTGGTACCGAAGCCATTTGCAGCCGCTGCTGGGATCACCCCCTAAGGCTCCTTAAGAATCCCCCAGCCTGCTAAAAAAGGCTCCCCAGCTTCCCACGGTGCGTGCCTGCTAAAAGGTTATTACGGCAGACTGCAATTAATTTTCACGAGTGCAAATTCTTTCATTTATCTTGCTTCAGTGATAAGGCGTTCTCCGAGTTCACTTTGTGCTCATCTGGCTGTGGGAGCCAGATAGTAGCCTTCCTACTATACCCACTCCTCCTCCCTTCTTATCAGGGTTAGCTTCTTCAAAGACAAAGAGCTTTTTGTCATTGGCCCTCGCATCAGTTGTGTGACAATGAGATCTGCTTCCTGGAGATTTCGCTCTGCTTTTCCGTGTTAGACTAATACCCTAATCCATGCACTCAAGAAGTGGACAATCCATTGGTCAATCCATTGGTCAATCCCTGGAGTTCTGGGAAGACAGGAGGCTGTTCTCATAGGGCCGCCATGACGGAGACAGCTGTTCCTGTCTGCTGAGCCTGGAGAGAAACCTGCTGAGACGCCACCAACACACTGCCATCATACACCGAGTTATTATACACATCTGTTTTTAGACAGAGATATTCTATGTTGTCATATTAGTTCAAGTAAAATAAAGCTGTTCCATGTGATCTACCTAAACATGCACAATGTGACAATGGTAATATGACTGAAATAAGGTCAATATAAATAGCTTATTACAAACATTGACCAACAAATCCACTATAGCATGGTAGAGGGATATATGGCACACATTGGGTAAGAATCCACAGTCTATATAAGTCTATAATTGACATATATCATTAGCTGAGGTTGTGCTGATATCTGAGATGTGTAAAACTTGATTATACTGTAAATAAATTACAATTTATAAGGCAAAACACAAAAATATACAATAACGGCAATTACCTATGTGGGTCTCTGAGGGTAAAGACAAGGCAGTAAAACAAATGTAGTCCACTGCTTTAAAATATCATTATTCATTAGATTTCTACATAATGAATAATAGTGTATCTGTTTATATTAATCTGTGCTCTCTTGTCAGGGCACTCTTATGATTGTTATCGAACTCACAGGTGTGTAATCATAGGACACTGAGAAGCTTCATCATAACCAGTGTGTTTTATCCAAAAAGGATTGGTTGTTTGTCATTTAAGTGTGTAAAGAAAATTCAAAGGGAATTACATTTTATTTCAACTCTCAAAAGTATGTTTTCCTAAATGCTCTGCCATGACAAGCATTTTCATCTCGGCCCTATTCCTGTCTTTGTTTCCAAACAACACTGCAGTGTTCAGAAGAGACACTTAACTTGGCGTGCTGACTCAACACATGCATAGCTGATGTTGCAGATTACAGACCATGAAATATGAAGATTTAGACATTTCGACTCATTAGCCAATGCTCGAGAGCCGCCGTCTTTGATTGTTGCCAAGCTCTCTGTACTTTGTTTGGAGTTTTTGTGTTGAGAAGCCAAACATGCTCCATGTTGATATTCCACAGAGGCATTCAGCAAAACTGAATAATTTGCATACAAGATCAGTCAGTGAAGAAGCATGAGTGGCTTATCTGCAGTGTAGCCACATAAATCATTGGCCTGTGTATTGATGGTCCGGCTTATTAAACAGCAATAACAAAATTCAAATGTAGATATACAATTGAACATTAGTTTACAGCAGGGGTGTCAAACTCAATTTCATCTCGGGCCACATTCGCATTATGGTTGCACTCAAAGGGCCGGTTGTAACTTTAAGACTATATAAAAATACATATTTAATATATATAAAATAATGTATTATATTACGTTATTGCCTCTGCATTGGATTATTATCGATAGGGTAATAACTTCATAATTAACTCGGTCTGAAAGCAGAAGTCTAAGGCAAATAATTGCAAGTCTCTTCAGTGAGAATGTCCCAAAATGATTTTAAAAGAAAAAAGTGACATTTGGAAAAAAAAGTCAAATCTGAGAAAAAAGTCAAATGAGAGATGCATTGTGGGACATGTAGTTTATGGGCAACGTGCTTCTGTAAATCGCCATGTAACCGTATAACAAACATATGATATTCTTTGCAAGCTCTTGTGGGGCCACATAAAATGAAGTCGCAGGCCGGATTTGGCCCCCGGGCCTTGAGTTTGACACCAGTTTACAGTGTATCACAATAGCATTGTGAATTGAATTTGCCAGCATTAACAGCTAAATGGCTACACATTTCTTTTTTAAAGGTGGATAAATGTTGAGCTTTTCAGCACTATCGCCACATGACAATTCCTCATACTGGATGTGATGATACAGGCTCTGCATTAATCCATTGTAAATTATCTTTAATGAGTACAACATGGTAGCTCCACTTCACATATAGCCACGAGACCCTCTTTACAGTTTGCCTGCAGAGGTGATGTCCAGGTAAAGGTTTACATTTTAGTTAGGAAACAAATGAGTGACCCCCCTTTGAATATGATGAAGAGAATCAGTCTATTAGGACATCTCAGAAGATTACAGATGGGAAATAGGAAACGAGGACGAAAAAAAGAAAGCTCTGCGCTTAAAGATGGTGAAATTATCATCAGAAAGCCTGGGTATAATCTTTCCTGAATAGAATTACAATGTGGCACCATGTGATAAATGCCCGGGCTGTCAGAAGCTAGCAAGCCGACTTCAATGAGCTCTTAAAAAGGAATCAGGCTGCCTGTTAACTGCTACACAAAGTAAAGAGGCC